AACAATATATATATATATATATATGAATGAAAGCAGACTGTGCACAGGCCAGAGAAGCAAGCTAGTAAGCACCATTCCTCCAAGGTGTGCTTCAGCAGCTGCTTGAATTCTTGCCTTTCTTGAGTTCCTGCTTTGGCTTCCCTCAGTGATGGACTGTGATCAGGACATGTAAACCAAATAAACCCTTTCCTCTTCAAGTTGGATTTGGTTAGTGTTTTATCACAGCAACAGAAACCAAACTAGGACATACTTCTGCCCACATATTGATAACAGTCAAGCAGAGGAGGACAGCTAATAAAGGGGTACCAAGAATGGGGTTAAGAAGAAAATTAAAAAATTATGGTAACTAGGCAGACTCAGCAAACACCTGTACTGTAGGCCTAGCTACTGCAGAGGCTAAAGCAAGATCACTTGAGCCTCAGAATTTGGGGCCAGTTTGTGCAACATAATGAGAACCTGTTTTTAAAAACATACAATGGGGGCTGGCAAGGTGGCTTAGCAGTTAAGAGCAGTGACTGCTTTTTCAGAAGACCCTGGCTCACTTCCTAACACCCACATGGCAACTAACAGTGGTTTGTAACTCCAGTTCCATGGGATCCAATGGCCTCGTCTCACCTTTACAGGCATTGCACACACATAGTACACTTACATACATGCAGGCAAAACACTTGTACACACAAACACACACACAAACAAATTTAAAAAAATTTAAAAAGTAACAATAGTTGGTACTGGAGAGATGGATCAGTGATTAACAGCACTTGATACTTTTGCAGAGGACCTGGGGTTTGGGTCCCAGCACCCACACTGGGCAAACCACAGCCTCTTTGTAACACCAGTTTCAGGGGGGAATCCCAACATTCTTTTCTGGCTTCTGTAGGTACATACCCATGTGGTGCACATAAACTTACATAGGTACCCACACATACACATAAATAAAATGAGTAAGTAAATCTTAAAAATGAAGAGCCAGTAACAAGAACCGAAAAAAAAAAAAAAAAAAAAAAAAAAAAAAAAAACACTCTTCCTCCCAGAAAATCACAATAATTGGCTTGGACAAATCAATAAGATCAAATATTATCATCCCTACCTCCCAGTGCTGGGGCTCAAACCTTGTACCTCATGCATGCTAGGCAAATAGTGGTCTGGAGACATCATTGTAGTGTGGCAGGTACATTTCATTTGTTCATAATAGCAACTGATTAATCAAAGATTGTACTACCTTTTTGGTCTACAAATATCTGACTTATATAGTACATTTGATAAAGATTCCACCAATTTAGAAAAGTTTAAATATTTAAAAATGCACTGTAAATTTCTAAACATTTAACTCATCAGCTCCTTTCCTGATACTATTATAATATTAGCATATACATTATCATGAGTATATGTGCTGTTTTATTGATGGACTCTAACATTACCATAGATGTGGTCTAAATATTGTATTATTGGATATATCATTTGTCATTTGATGATTATAAGTATTACATCACTCATTAGGGCCTTTCTCTTAACAAGAACAATGATTTCTTGGATTGGTTTTTGATACTCTTTGTTTTTAGTAAGTACTGGAAAAGAAAAAAAAAGTTTGAGAAAAATTGGTTAAAAATTTAAGCACTGTAATAGCATCTGTTAGTATGGTTAAAACATTATAATAGCATGCTGATAATCTGTTTTGTAATTTGTAAGAAACAAAAAGATTATATCCATTCAAAATTTTGAGTATTCAATATTGATTTCTAGGGTGTTGTAGTTCTAGTAGAGCTTGTACTAAGATGACAGTGTTTGCAAGTTCAGCTTCATAGAGAACATTTTTCTTTTCCTCTTCTTTTTTAAAACTGCAAACTCAGTACAGTACAGTGTTTGTCATTCTATGTGACAGGACACCCAGAGTTATGTTGACGAATATCTTGGGAACGAAGTTAGGAAGAAAGTACATAAAGAGTCCACCTGTAACTGAGGCCAGTTTGAGTGATACAGACAACTTGAAATCAGAGCAACTTTCTTCATCATCTGATGTCAGCTTAGAATCTTGTCAGAATGTAAATCTTCACAAGAGCTGTTTTTTATCTGAAAGGTATGTCTAGTGATATCTTTATTCAAATACATTTATTCTTTTATGACAGATATGTTATTGGTAAATATGAGGTAAATTGTGCTTTAACTCCTGGCATGACTTTTCTCCCCTGCTGGATAGAATGGCTGTTGGAAGCAGCAATCCATGGCTAGTAATCAGGTTCAAAAGTCATTCTTGAATTTTGGAAAAATGAATGAAAACACTGAATGAAAATTTAGTTACCTGTTTTAGTATTCACTTTCATTTATCTTGTATAATTGAAATCATTCTATTCCTCCCTTCTTTTTGCTCCCTGTCCATCCTTCCACACATCTGTCTGCTCATCTGTCCATCCATCCATCATTATTTACCATACTTAGACCAGGAGAGCTGTACCTAGCATTTAGTGCTCAGTAAATATTTACTCAATGAATGGCTAACTATATTCCTCACAAAAAAGGTTTGAGATAGCCAAATTCCATTAACTAATGTGGCTTAGTATATTCATTTAAAAAATACATATCTTAAATTTCTTTATTTTATGATACATTAAGAGACAGTCCACTGTGGAGAAAGAATTTGTGAAAAAGGTTAATGAATGTTCACTTGTAAATCCTACTTGATTTTTGTTTGGAGACAGTTCTTGCTAGGTAGACCAGGGTTTGAACTTGTGATCCTTTGTCTCCTCTTGAGTGCTGGGACTATGTGTGTGCATCACCAAGCTTGACTTCTAGATTTTAAACTTTCACTTGCTACAGACTAGTGAAACTTATTTTTTGCTTTCAGCCCATAGAAAATATACAGAGCTTTTACTTCAGCAAATATTTGTTCTTGACTTAATGTTTTTTTGCTTCCTGACCTAGTCATAATTAACTTCTAGTTTGTATATTCATTGTAAGCCTAATACATTATTTATAATTCCCTCTTTAAGGACCTGTAATAAATTTCTTACATCTCTAACAAATAATATATTTTTTGGTCTTTTTGAGACAGGGTTTCCCTGTAGCCCCAGAACTTTCTATGTAGAGCAGGCTGGCCTTGAATTCACAGAGATCCACCTGCCTCTGCCTCCCAAGTGCTGGGCTTAAATGCATGTGCCACCATGTGTGGCACAAATAATATCTTTTAAAACTCTTTATTCCTTCTGAACTTCTGAATTTTTGTTCTTTTAGAAAATATTTAATGTTTTATTATGTTCTAATTAATGAAGTATCAATGATACTTTATTTTATTAGGTCTCTGTCCAAGGTATCCTGAAGAAAAACAACTTAGGGGAGAAAGTTTATTTTAGTTCACAGTTCCAGGTTACAGTCCATCACTGTGAGGAAGTCACAGTAGCAGGAGCTGGAAGCAGCTGCTCATCCCATATCCACAGTCAAGAGCAGAGAGAAGTAAATGCATGCGTGCACTCTTGCTCACTTGCTTGTGCTTAAGTTGATTTCTCTACTCTTACACAGTTCAGGAACCCTTGCCTAGGGAATGGTCTGTTTCTGTATCATTGTAATTAGGACAGTCCCCAAAAGACATGCCCACGGGCTACCAACCCAGTGTAACCAGTCACTTACAGTTGCTTTAAAAATATTTCTCCTTCTCCAAGTAAGAATTCAGTGGTATTAACCAGCCACTAAATTTATAATGTAAAATTGGGTATGTTAGAAATATATTTATTGCCAGGTGTGGTGGTGCACACCTTTAATCCCAGCACTCAGGAGGTAGAGGCAGGCGGATCTCTGTGAGTTCAAGCCAGCCTGGTCTACATAGTGAGTTCCAGGACAACTGGGGCTACGGGGAGACCCTGTCTCAAAAGACCCTCCCCCCACCAAAAGAAATACATTTATCAGGACTGGAGAGATGCATCAGCAGTTAAGAGCACTGGCTGCTCTTGCAGAGGACCAGGTTCCTCTTGCAGAGTACCAGATTCCATTCCTAGCACCCACCTGATGGCTGACAACTGTCTGTAATTCTAGTTTCAGGGGATCTAATGCCTCTCTGACAGCTGCAGACATTGTATGCATGTGGCACACATACATGCAGGCAAAACACTCATATACATAAAATAAAAATTAATAAGGTATAAAAAAGGAAGGCATTTCTTGCATTATTCTGTGTTGGTTTCTGCCTTCTCTAGTTGATTGAAAGCTTCTTAAGGAGATACTTCATGGCATATTTGTGTTTATATTCAGTGCTTACTCAATGCCTAAAAATTTCATTGCCTTGGTTAATGCTCAAGACATTTAACCTTGAGTCTTATTTTCCTGAGCTATAAAAAGAGGAGTAATTTTGAATGCACTTTCTACCTCACAAAATTGTTGCATTAACTTTTATATCTCATTTGTGAGAATTTTTGTTTACAATAAAATATAAATGAAAATGTTGTCATTGAAGGCACTTTTTGTAGAGGAAATGCATGATATACTTTGCCATGGAATACAAATTATATTGGTGTGCATTTATGCCATTAAGAAAAATAGCTCTATTGTGAGGAATTTATGAAGCTGTCAAATTGTAAACTTTACTTTTCAGGCTTTATACTAATCTGGGGCTAAAGATGAATAATAATAATATAAAAATTGTATTTGTTTCCAGAATCTATTCAGTGGAAACCCTTGTTCTCTTCAAGTTCTTTCTAAGTAATCATGAAATTTATATTATTATTTGTTTCTTTCTTTCTTTATTTTTGGTCTTTTTTTGGTCTTTTTGAGACAGGGTGTCCTTGTAGCCCCAGGTGGCCTAGAACTTGCTGTGTAGACCATAGAGATCCACTTTCCTCTGCCTCCTAAGTGCTGGGATTAAAGGCGTGTGCCACCATGCTGGGCCTGTTTTTGGTCTTTTTTGAGACAGAAACCCTGTACCTCCAGCTGGCCTGGAGCTCACAGAGATCTGCCTGCCTCTGCCTCCCAAGTGCTGGGACTAAAGGCATGTGCCACCACTCCTGGCCAAGTTATTTATATCTTTAAAAGAGGGATAATAATATACATATTCTTCAGTCCGTGTTTAGATTTAAGTCAAATCCAAAATAAAATGCCTGGTAATAGGTAGTAATCAATACTTTTGGTCCTTTCTTATTGTTGCTAATACAAAAAATTCCATTAAAGGCTATTGTGCTAGATGGTATTTCTGAATCCCCTATTAAGGAACGACATCTGATCTGAGACCACTGTTGACATTAGCACCATGGCCAAAACTTTGTCACAGCTTTATCAGCACCAACATTTAGTTTAGGAGGAGTACTGAGCGCCTTAAATTAAACCTTGGTTCTTGCTTTTCTTAAAATGAGTGCTTTTTGAAAGGAGAATTCAGAGTACTTAGTGGAAGTATGTTGCAATTATGGCTGTATCATCACTTTACAACACATACCCGTACAATTGAAGTATATAAGTTGAAGATGGACTAGACTCAGGATGTGACGCCCATTGTACCTTCCTCCTCTCAGACTCTTCTTTCAAAGCAGAATGAGTTAATAGAAATTACTTAGATCTTCCCAGGAGACACGATGTTAGTTCATTATTGTTATTATTGTTCTGTGATTGTAGAGAATGTGGTAAGATGCCAACTCTTGTTAAATATAATATCAAGTACAAATACACTCTGTGAGTGGAATAATACAGGTTGTAGCCATGGAAACTAATGTTTCCTCTGAAAACCTAGTGCTTACTTGTGCACTTGATGGTGCATATAAGCAAATGTTCTGTGAAGATTAAAAGCGTTACTTTAGCCTTATTCTGTCAAGAACTATTACTACTGCCTGTTACAGACAGCTTGAAAGAAATCTGTTTTATAACAGAAATCAAAAAATGATAAAAAAATCAGTGGTGAATAGAAAATTTAAATTAAATGCTCTCTTTCAAGTAGCATATTTGTTTTTTTCAACAGGACAGTCAAGAACTGTTACTACTGCCTGTTACAGATAGCTTGAAAGAAATCTTTTGTTTTATATCAGAAATCAAGAAATGATTAAAAAAGAAACTAGTGGTGAATAGAAAATTTAAATTTAATGATCTCTTTCAAGTAGCATATTTTTTCAACAGGACAGTTTCTATTATTTTAACATACAAACCTTAATTTTTCTGTTTTAAATTAATCCTGTAAAAATTTTAAACTAGCATTTATTAAGCCTTTAGCATGATACTATACTATGGAAAATTCTGTGTGTGTACTACTTCCTTTAATTAGTACAGGCTGTGGCTTTGGCATTTTGTTTAACTCCCAATACCTTAGTTTGTCTTCTGTAATAATAATATGTATTATATTGGATGAGTAAATGAGAAGATAGTCACCTGTCATTTTATTCTTTGAGTTCCATTGTTTTAGAGACAACATATAAATGAGAACAGCTAGTGTTTGTCCTTCTGTGCCTGGCTTATTTCACATAGCATGTTTTTTAAACTTTTTATTGGATCAAGCATTTCATACAGTGTGTTTTGATTATGTTCTGATTACCTCCCCATTTCTACTTTCACCTTTCCATCCCCCTCCCAACTTTATGACCACTGTTAGCATTTGAAAAACCCCATCCATCTTATACAACACATCTGAACTGGGTGCCACAGATGTCATATTTCATTAGAATGTCAGTGATATATAATTCTTATGCACAAATCTGCCAAAATAAGGACTCCCTTTCCTTTTTATGCGGTTTTGGGTCAGAATACACCCAAGTTTCTTGGAATGGCATTTTCACATTTGCTTTCTGTTTCTTACTCACTGCTTAGTAGGGATTTCTCTTTTCATCAGCGATCAGAGATGCTTGAGATTCTTCATCAAAGTCAGTTGTTTGCAATCCAAGTACATTCATGTTACACTTTGGCTGTTTCTGGGCCTTACTTAGCACACTTACCCCACTGTGGTCCAGGTCTTATCTAACAGGTTGATTCTGCAAAGGGTTTTACTGTGGGTAAAAGCAGAAGGTAGGTCTTCACAACAAACAGCAGTTGACTTACTGGCCTCCAATCCAAGTTCTCAGAGTGGCATTTGGGATATTTCACAGCTTCACCCAACAGCCTACACCAGTGTCCTCTAGT